ATACTATGCGGTTTGCGACAGTAGGGTGGGAAAGAAATCCTCCATGACTTGGTCATGAGAGACAAAAGAATGCGGCACTTGGGAAGGGGTGGCACAACAATGCGGAAACACAAATCACTACTTTAGGCGTGAGAATACATAGTATCAGATAGAACTAATATTGACATCTGAGAGGCTACATGCTTGTTCCCAGACATTGAATTGGGATATTCACCGAGTAAATTCACCAATACTACCTAGAAAATCAGCCTGTTAAGTATACCAGGGGTTACCTCTCACTGAGACCTTTGAAGAGGGGAATCGACTCGCTAGAAACCTATGAACAATGGCAAACAAGCAATGAGGCATGGCAACTTTGGTGTCCTACCCAATTTAGTACTATGCCTTCAGACATACTTCCCGTCAAGCTGCGCGAGAACTGCAACCCAACTCTACCTAGCTGGTTTGCATGATGAAAATAGTGCGTAAGACGCATTACAGATTTACAGGGAAAGTCGATCCATCTTCCCGCTTGATCTGATACCATTATGATTGGCTCAGATTATATAGTGGGCAATAATAGTAGTAATCTGCAGCCCTGCATCAGTGCATCAGTGCATCCCCCCAAAGATCCGGAGTCCAGACCAATGTAGCTTGTATTTTCTTTCTGTTCCTCCCCATCGCAGACTAGGCGCACGGCACCTCTTCCCAACTTTCCCCTCTCTTGGGCTTCTCCTCGCACGTTTTCCTCTCAGTCTCTCCCCTTTCCCACCTCCCGGACAGAGGTTGGCTAGCCAGTCAAGGAGCTGAAATACAGCCATCCCCCCGAACATTCCCATTATGGGCTTCGTTTTGGCTGATCCTACCAGTTAACATCTTTTGTTTCGTGCCATTGTAACATATTATTGAGTAACAGGTCCATTAAGGTCATAATTTAGCTATTAAGCGCACGAACCCACCTACTCAGAGGAAAATCCATTGCTGCAGATCCGATAACTCTCTGTCCGAATAAATGATCTTGTTTTCTTCCTGGCCTGCCTGAGCAAATGGACAGCCTATCTTAGCCACTTTAAGCAAATTTCCGAAATCACCCAACCTACAGCCGCTGCGGTCAAGTGGTACCTCTTATTTGCGGTCCTGTATCGCTTCCTCCCCCTAACACGACCCTGGTTTGGTCTTGCAAGCCACGTGACTTCCCCGGCCCATTCGAGGTTGAATTTCATCCATCACCCATCGGCCTACGTCCTATCATACCATCCCAGATTGAAGCTGGAGCGCCTTTCTCTCTTCTTCCTCGCTAGTTGTGTGTTTTCCTGTGACTCCACAGGGTGGATCGAGTGGTTTTGCGACTCGCAACTCTTCCTGCCACGGCCTTTCTTAGTAGTGCTGCACACTAGCCTCATTTAAGGCGGTAGTCCCGACCTGGAAGCTAAGCACTTCACCTCTCCGACTACTCGATCCAGGAGGCTGTGACTTTACATCTCTCGAGCCGCGTTGCCCCTTCTCGGCGGAACCCTGGTGGTCATCAAGTGTGTGTTTCGACATAACACATCGCCGTCATATCTCCTACGCCTCTTGAATTTTGTTATTGTTGATTCCGTGAATCTCGCTCTGCTAGCCTCCAGATGCTCGGAGGGAGCTCCGAGCGAGATTCTCCGCCCAACACATCCAGTAAACCCACAGGAGAAGTGCCGATGCCTGTCAACACGGGCAACACCGACTCAGGTAAGAGCAATCTGTTTGTTGCTGCTGTCATATTCCATCACTGCAGATCGTCGCAGACCGATCACAAGAGTTGCTAACGCTGTTCCGATCAGGTCCTGGATCGTCGCTTCAGGACAATGCCAAAGACTCAGATGCCTCTCCTCAGTCGAAACCGTTAGAGCCTACTGAGCCTGCTTCTGCGCCCATCCCATCGACTCAGGCCCTCGGGAGCCCCAATCCCCCGACAAATACGAGCGATCCGTCCAAGCAGCAACATTTGCTGGTCCCAAGTCAATCACGTTCATCGTCGAAGGCGGATGGTCAATCAACATTAGACAATAGACAGGATGCCGCGCATGATGATTCGGAAAACACGCTACGAGGTTCGAGAAGAAGTATCTTAAAGGGGCGGAGGGACAGAAGCAGAGGGAGTAGCAAGAGATCTTGGCGGCCATCTCAGGGGCCAACAGGTATGGGTGAGCAAAAGACAGCGACTGACACTGAGGCGCGGGACAATCCCAAACCAGAAACCAAGCCCAAGGTTTCGCTCAGGTTGTTCGCCTTTCTAAGTTGCTGCTCGTCATCTGGTGTCGATCCGGATGACTCTGCCATTCCCCCGAAGAAGACTGCCCGGCGACCTTCGGTTCCTGCAACCCAGCCTACACCGGAGAAAGCGGATCTCGATGCCAATCGTTCAAGTCGGACGGAATCTGAAGAAGCAAAACTCTTTGGAGAAGAGAAGCCGAACTTGACTGTGACTTCAAATCAACCTTCCAAGGAGGAGGATAAAAAAGCCAGTGCCTCCGAGGAAGCCGCTCAACTCGGTGGCAACCTATCAGCTTCTGATAAATTCAAGTCCAGCCATGAACCATCCTCTCAGTATGGCCAGGTTGATACTACCCGCTCTGATGCCCCTCAGAATGCTCAAATCCCAGTCATAGTGGCAACTGAGACAGAGGAGGCCAACGATCTCGCGATCAAACCGGAAGAGCCTGCGACGTCACTGCCACTGCACGTCGTTAAGGACAGCTCAGGCTCTAACGAAGCGCAACCAACTTCCTCTGCAGTTGAATACAACGACGTAAAGTCATCGCACGAAGAAGAAACTAGTCTGCCAGCCGAAATTCCTCTCCCTCCCCCTCCGCAAGTTCCTATGGGAAAACAAATACAAATCGCGACTCCCGAAAGACCCCAGCAATGGCTTCTACCCCCTCCCTTGCCACATTTGCGGAACCGGAAATGCCTGGTCCTTGACTTGGACGAAACGCTGGTCCACAGTAGCTTCAAGGTAATTCGCCAGCCTCTAAGCCCTTTCACGTAGTGAGCTGCATGTTTCTGACACACCACCACAGGTTCTCGAGCGTGCCGATTTCACAATCCCTGTGGAGATCGAAGGCCAGTACCACAACATCTACGTGATCAAACGACCTGGAGTCGATCAATTCATGAAGCGTGTTGGAGAATTGTACGAGGTGGTTGTCTTTACTGCCTCTGTTTCTAAGGTGAGCTTTCCTATCCCATTACCATTTCCTGGACGATTTCTGATTTGGATGAAAGTACGGCGATCCTCTACTGGATCAACTTGACATCCATAATGTTGTTCACCACAGGCTCTTTAGAGACAGTTGCTACAACCATCAAGGTAATTATGTCAAGGTCAGTAGCCCCCTTTTGCAGCGAAGATCATGATGAGAGCAAGCCATTGATATCTCTACTATAGGACCTCTCACAGGTTGGCCGTGACCTTCGAGAGACGATCATCATCGACAATTCTCCAACTTCATACATTTTCCACCCTCAACACGCGATACCCATCAGCAGCTGGTTCTCTGACGCCCACGATAACGAGCTTCTCGACTTGATTCCTGTCCTCGAAGACCTTGCCGGCGCACAAGTAAAAGATGTCAGCCTGGTCCTCGACGTTGCGATGTAATCTCTGTAACTTTATTTCTTCCCGGCATTTTCCCCATCGAGCTACAGTCTCGATCTTTTACGTGATTGCAAAGAGAACGGCTCCCTCGGAACCGATTTCAGTTGTTCGAAACATACGGAGGCGCGTCTTTCGTCATTCAAGCACTACCAAGATCAGCAGGAGAAGAGGAGAAAAGTGAAAGCATCTTTTACCAGAATCTGTGAGGGTCACAGCTGATGTTTAAATCTACCATAATCACTTCTTCTGACGTTTTGCCCTACCCCATTCTTCTATTCTCCCTTCCTGTGACCCATATAGACATGTGGGACCAGCGTTTTGGTTTCGCCTGTCTGTGATTTTCTAGACTGAGTCTTACCTATTCATCATCCATCCTATTTCTTTGTTCCAACATCCTCTCTGATCATGTCTCCTTTCCCTCTGCACTCCAAGCGAGCACATTCCATATTCCCCCCAGTTTCGTTCCCCTTCTCCCCTGTTCTTTTCATTGATTTGTTGCCGTGTGAGACTCTCTTGCATCAAGCAGGCGTCTATCTTGGCTTGTAGCCGAAGACTAGGTCTCATATACATGCTCCTGCGTCGTCAACATTCTCTCTGTTCCAAATCCCTGTGCTTCATTCCCACCATCAACGTCCCTCCAGAGCGCACGCCGCTGTCCAGTCCGTCGATACCTTTCTTTTTTGTTTTGTGATTACCCCTTCAACGCCAGCGTCCTCTTGTCATTCTTCAGCCCTGATTCGTTTCTTGAAACTCTGCCTAAGAAGCAGCATCTCCATAAAGGTCCCCAGTGTGCAGGTCACTGTCCCTGGTATTTCGCAGAGCATACCGTTGGTTCTACATTTGGCGCAGAATTGTGACCTGTTAATGTATATGTACCTCTTGGCTCCGGCGCATGTGCTGTATATAAAAGCTCTTCCCCGAATACAGCTTGAACCATGTCCCGATGGCAATGCCCTAAAGAAAACATAGGCAAAGTAATTGCGAAGCTCATTTTCAGAATTAATTGATTGCATCTAATTTTTCTAATAACATGGACATGATGCTGGCGGATAGTCCCTTGCTCTTCTAACAGAAGGCGGACGGGGAAATACGGCCCAGTGATGACTAGCGAAGAATAACCATCATCATCACCTGCACGCCACCACTATGGTACCAAAGATTTTCACGTTCAGGATACAGAGCTTCTTTCTTTTTAATGTGGCTTCAGCCATCTCAATGCCCAAATAACTGCGCTCTGCGAATTCCTTCTAGACCTTCTATAAACGTGTTCACCCACCCGTTTCCGCCCCTCTTTACGTAGAAGAGCTCCCCCGCACTCCCGTTACGCGTTCCTCGGAGCCGTCTACCAAAAAAAATCTCCGTCTGAGCTCACAAACAGTTTGCAACGATGAAAGACAGTAAAGGCTGGGATGGAAAGCTGAGAGTCGAGCCTAAGGCTACGATCACGAATCCAGAGGCCCTGGAGGATCCAAATTACTCGGATTCCGATGCGCCGCCGGTTGAGGAGATTGAGGCTGATGAGGGTAGGTCAATTTCCCTGTCTAAGACGTACCGGAGCATTGGCTGCAGTTGCGTCACAGACTGATATTTGACTGTCGCCGCGATTCGGGGGAACCTCGAATGGCTAATTGTTGGCAGATCTGCTTGAGGATGAGGATCGAGAGACGCAAGTATGTTTTCGTCTACAACAGGGTCCTAGTTTGGGAACTCGGGGCTCATGGCATTCTAGGAAATCGACCTCGTACATTTTCGCATCACTTCGATCCCAGCTTTGCGACTAGAACGATTCCCCAAGCTCCAGGTATGTTGGCCCGCACCAGCCCATGCGGCTTCCAAGGCTAACGGTATGATTCCTGTAGAGAATATGCCTCCGACAGAACCAGATTACTCGCATCGACTTCCCCTCCGAAATCGCGCCCACGCTGATCGAACTCGATCTCTACGATAACCTCATTTCGCACGTCAAGGGTCTCGATGAGTTCCGGGACCTGACGAGTCTAGACCTGAGCTTCAACAAGATCAAGCACATCAAGAATATCTCGCATTTGGTGAATCTGACAGATCTGTACTTTGTTCAGAACAGGATATCCAAGATTGAGGGGTTGGAGGGCTTGACGAAGTTGCGGAATCTAGAGCTGGGGGCGAACAGGATTAGGGTGCGTGAATTTTTAATGGCACGAAGGAGAACTGGGCTGAATGCAGCAGGAAATCGAGAATCTTGATACCCTAACCTCGTTGGAGGAGATCTGGCTTGGGAAGAACAAGATTACAGAAATGAAGGTTCGTCTCTTAGTTTGCCATATTCCCGACCAGGCTAACTCGACCCAGAACTTCGACGCGCTGTCGAACCTCCGCATCATCTCCATCCAGTCGAATCGACTCACCAGCATTACTGGCCTCTCCTCGCTCAAGAACCTCGAAGAACTCTACCTATCCCATAACGCCATCACCGACCTCAGCGGACTCGAGTCCAATACCTCGTTGCGCGTCCTGGATTTCTCCAATAATCAAGTTTCGAAGCTGGAACACATCTCCCATCTGAAGAATCTGGAGGAGCTGTGGGCGTCCAACAACGAACTCTCGAGCTTTGAGGAGGTGGAGCGCGAGTTGAAAGATAAAGAGAAGCTGCAGACGGTATATTTTGAAGGGAACCCATTGCAGACCAAGGGGCCGGCGGTGTATCGAAACAAGGTGCGGTTGGCGCTGCCGCAAGTTATGCAGATTGATGCGAGTAAGTTCACTTCCATGGCTGTTCAGGCCTAGGATAGGCTGCTAACGATTTCTAGCCTTTATCCGGCTCGGGTGATGTTGTATGGCAAGGTATACATTGATAATGATTATGATAACAATGCATTTGTGGGCTGGATCGCCCAAATTCCCTTCCGTCTAGACTATGCAGCTATAGGAGGCTTCTCTATGTAGAAATAGGGTATGACACATTCACGGTCAATACCATATGGTTGGCTCTACCAACCGTATTCCTAAGTCTTGCAGAAATCGGCTCACAGGGTAGTTGCGTATGGCCTCGTGTGGACGTACTGTATGTCCTCCGCGAGCAATATCCGGCCATGAACGCGGTGTATACACGTCCTGGTCATCTCAGTGACTGCCGACCGACTCGGCCTGTTTTGCAACAGCCTGGAGTCGGCGCAAAAGCATCCACACCCACGGTGACGCGGTGAAGTCTCTGCATGCTTCTTTGACCATGTAGAGACCAAAAGTCGATTCGAAGCTCTGGTCGCACACTCATCCACTCATCGTTCCCCCAACCTATTCACTCCAGGCTCAGTCCGATTCCCACTCCCATCTTCCTCCTGCACATGCCCCTCCTTCCCGTCTTCTAGAATATTCTCCCCAAGACCCTCCCGATACAATCTCATCAACGACGTCGCGCCCAACCGCTTATTCTCCTTCATCATCTGCCTCTTCACCCGGAACGGCTCATGCCGCTTCCGACTCATCGTCTCGTCCGCCAGTTCCTTCAGCGGGATCCCCGTCTTCACAAGATCCCGGTACTGGTACGTCGAGTCGTAGACGCGGAAGGTCCCGTGAAAGGGGTTCCGCTGGAGCGCAGACTCGTGGTTATGCCGGGACGCGAGGATCTCGCATCTCAGGAACTCTGGTCTGGATCTTGCGTCTGGTTTTCTGGCACTTAATGGTGGCGCTGACTCGGACTGAGCGTCGTGGTTATGGGTATAGGCAGGGTCAGTGTTGGGGAGGCGGAGGGTTAGCGGGGAGGAGGAGACGGCTTGTTTTGCGGCGTCGGGGGAGTCGAAGATGGCGAGGATGGGGCGCGTGGGTGCTTTGGAGGTGTTGGTTGTGTCGTACTTATTTTACTCCTTTGTCAGTTTGAAGAGCGGGTTGGAGGGGGAGAAGAGTATGTACCTTGAGATTTCGGAATGTGACTACTTCGCCGAACTTTTGTAGAGCGCTTAGGATCAGTTTGCTTTCGGCGAGCGAGATGGGGCTGGGATTTGCGACGATGTGGATTGCCTGCGAGGCGAGGCGCCCGGCAGGAGAGGGCATTGTGTTTGGGAAGATGATTCTGTTGTATGCATTGATTTGTCGCGGATCAAGGTAGAAGTGGTGATGGTGAAGGCCGATGATGCTGTCTCGGCGTGTTGTCGCTCCGATAGCCGATCTACTTATGGAGTATTAAACATGCAGCCTTTCACTGTTCTTCTGGCTAGAATATGATGCTACTGGGATATTCTGTATGAGTTTCATGCGATCTATTCATGAATGCATGTATCGAGGTCATAACTATATACTGGAAAAAAAAATATGGTATTTTACTTTAAGCATAGGACATCAATCATCATCCACCAACGGACCGAAACAGCTATTTCGCTATTTCCCGCCTGCAGTTCTGCGGTACCACTCAGACCACCGGAATCTATCMCTGGGTCTAGAAGATGGGAGCATAGAAGCCGTACTAAAAAGGAAACGAGTCAGTGATTTGAATGGCATAAAGACGGCTAGGCTGAACTTACAGCAAGAGGGTCGTTGAATCTGAGGTTCCGGTTCAGGGAGCTGATGGCCTCAATCTCGCTGGCCGCAAGATCCCAGCCGGTGACCTCGAGGTTCTGAGCCAAACGGGCGGGGTCGTTGCTCTTGGGAATGACGGCAATGTTGCGTTGTGTAGCCCAGCGCAGCAGGACCTGAGCGGGAGTCTTGCCGTGCTTCTGAGCGATACCCGTGACAAGGTCGTGGTCGAACAGCTTGGGAGTCTCATGAGCATCCTTCATGTCCAGCTCGACGAAGCTCAGGGGACCGAACGACGAGTACGCGGTCACGGCGATGCCCTCCTTCTGGGCATAGGTGACCAGGCGCTCCTGGGTGAGGTAAGGGTGGTGCTCGATCTGGAGGGTGGCAGGGCGGATACGAGCGTAGCGCAGCAGGTCCATCAGCAACTGGGAGCTAAAGTTGCTGACACCGATGCTGCGGGCGAGCTTCTTGTCGACCAGCGACTCCATGGCGGTCCAGGTCTCCTGAATGGAGGCATTGCTGAACTCCAACTTGTTGTTCTCGGACAGCCACCCGGGAGGGTACCGGACGGCAGGATCGACATACTTTAGGGCAATGGGGAAGTGGACAATAAACAGGTCGAAGTAGTCAATGCCCCAGTCGGCCAGCTGCTTGCGGCAGATGGGCTCGACGCGCTCACCGTCGTGGAAGCTGTTCCAGAGCTTGGACACAATGAAGAGCTCTTCACGCTTCACAATGCCTTCCTGAATGGCACGGGCAACACCCTTGCCAGCCTCGACCTCGTTGCCGTAATCTGCGACGGTCAGGACTCTGTCGGTCTGTCTTTCGGTGGAGATCGAGAACATGAGGTTTACTCACCGCAGGCGCCGTCGAAGAGGCGGTAACCAGCCTTGATGGCATGGTAGATCTGGTCGGCGCAAGTCTCATTGTTGACCTTCCAGAGGCCAAAGCCCACGAGGGGCATGTCATAACCGCTGTTGAGCTTAACGGATGGGGTAGTCATTGTGAATATTTTGATTCCCACAGAATTGAATCCCTTTTGACTCTGAGACGGATAAGAAAACTCTCAGAAGAAGCTCTTACAGGCAATCGAGCGCAAGAAGACGCAGAACTTACAGGAAAGAAGAGCGGTTAGCTGGCGGATATTATTCTTCTCAAGTAGTAGGAGGGGGAGGGGCAGCAGATAAAGGGCACGCGCGCATCATGGACAATAATCATCTCCAAATTTCTCTGGCCGGGCCACTTGCTGCTCCATACCAACCCCATCTGGGATAAAACCGGCAGGGGGAATTGCGCTGGGAAAGCCAATGAGGCGTCGACAAATCTGGAGGTTGAGGCTAAAGTGTGTTGGCAGGTGGGATGGTTAATACCGGCTAAATGACTTGTTTCTGCCGCCGGCTGAATTCGACCGAAAAAAAAGTATCTCCTCCAGCAGATAGAGAGAGGGACCAAGTTACCACGGATCCCGTCGGAGCGAAATTGCCTACGGAGTAGATAGTCCCGAAATCTTCGCTCTGAAGCATCCATAATCTAGTAGAGTTCAGAAAATCCACCTGTAGTATTCCGGCAAAAAGTGAGGGCCGATATCGAATGATTCCCCCACAATCCATCTACACCGCAAGGACCATATCAGGCGTAGAAGCAAAAGGAAATGGTGCCATTATTATTACTAGAAAGATTATGATACATCGAAGGACTTTGAGAATAAGAGAGAGAATGAGAAAACATATTAAGTACTCCGAAAAGTGAACACCAGCCCCTGGAGGAAACGACCCAAGCCCAACAGCAATGCTGCGCTAAGATCTCAATATAAAAGACACCGAAGTAGAGGAAGAGATGAAACGAGGAGAGACGAAAATGGTATCTGAACACACTTTTGGCAATATGATTACCATTAAGAATAGAAAGAGTTTCCAATGAATATAGTTTAGTCCTTCATTGGACCGCCTCAGCGGCATTGGTATCTGTATAGGCGGCACTGGCATGATCGGGTCCTGCCCCATTCATGCCAGGATCGTCAGGCATGCTGCCCACGATCTTGTCCATCAGGTCATCCGGTCCCATCAAGCCCTCGAAGCCGTTTGGTGGGTGCGGCTCGCGGGGGGCCGACGTCTGATGGTCGTGGTGATGGTACGGAAGATGCGTGTAGTTGTTGGGGCCAACGTCGCTTGGAATGGTCGTCGAAGGAATTGAAGGGCCCCATGCGCTCTGGCTATGTCCGATTTCGTCCATTGACTGCGACCCAGAACCAAAGATATTGTTCAAAACATTGCTACTGTCGTGGACGCTAACTCCGTGTTGCTGAGAGGGCACGTAGTGGTTGTCGTGGCTCAAGGTGTACCCAGCAAGATTATGGTGCGACAGGGACATGTCATGAACATTGAGCATCACAGGTCCGCCGCTGGAGGCATTGAGATTTGATGGCTGACTGGTCTCCTGCTGCGGCATGCCTGAGAAGGAATCCAGGATGGAAGTTACAGCAGTTCTATCCTGTAATCCATCTTCGGGTTTGGTGACTGAGTTCAAGAAATCAAAGGAGCCTGTCGGATGATACATATTGGACATGTTCTCATGCGGTGGCGGGTACAAAGGCCAATGCGGTTGAGAAGTTCCTGTGTGGTGCAACATGTCGTGAGCTTGAGGCGCGTGATACACGTTCGGGGGCTGTGGTTTCAGTAAAATCGAATCGAGAGACAATGGGGGCAGGTCAATCCCCGTGGCCGGCTTGGGACTATTCATTATCGTTCGGTCGGGTGGAGGAATCAGCTTCCTCCAGGTTGTCAACCCAATCTCGTTATGTCGAGTCTGCCGGAACTTCCACAGTAGGATTGCCATCCTCTTTCTGCCATCGTTGGGATGGCCAGAGCCCTGATGAGAGACTCGCCGCGAGTTTTGAGGGACCGCTCGAATCTCTTGGACCGCGGACAGAGAGCGGAAGTACTTTCTGATAGGGTCATCCGCATTCTGGTGCTGTCCTGATTTTTCGGCCATTTGCTTGTCCTGCGTGAGTTCCGTGAATAGTTTCGCCCACCACGACGACTCAAATGGGGGTTTCACTTTGGACAGTGGTCTGGCAAGGTTGTGATCGGTCTTCAACGCCTGATGGCCATCTTCATAGATGTATGTGCTACATTTCCAATTGTCCATCTGACTGAGTACCGTGGCATCAGTCATGCCGGGAGGTGCAAAGTCTATATCCAACTGAATTCCCAGCTTGGAACCGGGCGGAGGGAAATCATTCATCAGCTTCAGGCTTGCTTCGAGCAGAATGATCTCGCAGTCCAAGGGGCCGTCCAGCTCCTCCATCACGGAGTTCAG